GCAAATAATTTTACAGATAGGGAAACTGAGGCACAGAAAACTTAAATCACTTCCTGGTTAGTGGCAAAACTGGCCACCTTTTGGCCGTGGTGAAATGTTCTCAACTTCACATGCTGCCTCTCAGCATCGAGAGCCTGGGGAGCACTGGGAGGAAGGGGGCAGGTACTGTGGGGACAGGATGGGCAGCCCTAACATTAGTAAGTCAGAAAGTCTAAGCTGACTGCAATCACACAGCACACAGAGCCCTTTAAAGCAGTGAAAGAATCAGAAAATGAAAGTGTTTGTCACCCCTAAGGGATAGCAAGTAGCTCCGACAAGGCAGGGGCCAGGTGAGAGTGGCTGTGGCATCACTTGTCTTCCCTCGACCTCTGCGAAAGTTTCTGATGAGGCACCAAATCTGGCCTCCCAGCCTGGGCACATTGATGCAAGAGAACAGATCTTGCCGACTTGCAGCAATTGTTCTAGACAAAAGTTACTCAAGTGAGTTGGTCAGGTGCTAATGCCGCAGAGCTTCCCCGCAGGGAAAACGTCAGGATTGTTCTTACAGATCACCTGCTACCTCCTCATTGCTCCAGAGAACCTTTTAACCTTCATCCTGTTCTGCTCAGTGTGCATCTCCTGAGCTGTCTGTGCTGAAGTGAGCAGATAACGAGATTCAGAGACATTCACCCTAGCTCCTGTCTCTTGTGGGATTTTCTCCTTCTGGTTCAGGGGATGGTGTGCACTTTGTCTTGGCTCAGGCCCACGTGGTCAAGGCTGTTGAGGTTATGGATCAATCCCAGTTTCTTCCCCTCCTTAAATCTCACAGACAGCTAGGGAACGCTGCCACCTGGCAGTGCAAATTGCCTTGTGTAGGAATCTAAACCAGTGAACATCAAATTGAGATAAAAGACTCTTAAAACATTTAAAAAATAAAAATAAACTTGCAGAGCAAGAGTGAACAAAATAGTGAGTCTTCAAAGTTAAGCAAATGCAGTAAAAGCACATTCATGTGATGTTTGGCTAACAAAAGCAAAAGTTTTAAAAATATTACAGATTTCTCTTTCCTTCTTCCTTTTGTTTAATTATTAGTTGACTATCATGTTTAAAAAGGAAATTAACTATGAGAACATACTCTTCTTTAAGATCTGAAAGTTCAAGTATCCTTGATTGAACAAAACATATCTTTTTTAAATTAATGTATTTGTCTTTGTGATATTGGAATGTAGAAGTAAACTGACACAGACACTATGCAAAACAGTATGGAAATTCCTCAAAAAATTGAGAATAGAACTACCATATGCTCCAGCTATTCCACTTCTGGGTATTTATCCAAAGAACATGAAAACATGAATGTGAAAAGATGCATGCACCTCTACGTTCATTGTGGCATTATTCACGATAGCCAAGAGCTGGAAACAACCTAAGTGCCCATCAACATATAAATGGATAAAGAAGATATAGTATATACACAGACAATGGAATACTACTCACCCATAAAAAAAGATGAAGTCTTGCCATTTGTGACAACATGGATGCATCTTGAGGATATTATGCTAAGCAAAATAAGTCAGACAGAGAAAGTCAAAGACCATATGATTTCAATCATAAGTGGGAGATAAAAACAACAACAACAAACAAACACATAGATACTGAGATTAGATTCGTGGTTACCAGAGGGGAAGCGGGGAGGGAGGAGGACAAAAGGGGTGACTGGGCACATGTGTACAGCAGTGGATGGTAAGTAGTCTTTGGGTGGAGAACATGATGTAGTCTACACAGAAATCGAAATATAATGAGTACACCTGAAATTTATATCACGTTATAAACCAATGTTACTGTTACCGAAAGTTCGGTCTCTGAACCCAGTGCCAATCCAAATAATGAGAACAGAGTCTCGAGTGAAAAGGAAAGACAATTTTACTTTGCAGCAAAGTGGAAGGAGCAAAACAATAGCTAGAGCCTCAGGAATTGCTTGCTCCCCATTAAGAAACGGGTAGGGGATTTTATTGGGGGCTTTAAGTAGGAGAGGGGTCTGTGGACTTCTTGGTCAGCATTTTCCCATCAGCCTGCGTTTAGGACTGCTTCCAAGGCGGAGGAGACAAAGGATTCCACAGATGGACATCCTTGGCTGTTTATCTCCATGGTAGAAGGTAGACTCTGACGTCAGGAAGCCGTGAAGTTGGGCCTGGAAAGCTCTGGTTTCTTGATATTCTCTGGACGTTAGTTTCTCTGTAAAAGAACTGTGATTAGCCACAACTTTAGTAGGAGCCCAGCTTGAGCCATGTGGGTTTTACCAATTTGTAACTTCTATTTGGTTGTAAAGCTCAGGGAGTCAGAGGTTAAAGAAACAAATATTTACATACGAGTGCAACTAAAGAAGCAGGGAGCTGGGAGCATGTGCTTTTAGTTCCAGTTCATGTATGCTGGGTTCACTGTAGGGGAACTAATCTCAGGGCTGGTGTTAAGAGCCTGTAACATTACCTCAATGAAAATAAATAAACAAAATACTCAAAAGATAAAATAAAAAATAAAAGTGATATTTTATTGGAAATTGTTTTTAATAGTTTTAACTTGTTTGTTAAGCTGGGATAGCTTAATGAGTTCAACTTTATTTGTAAGAAAACCATGTTCAAATCCCTCAGAACTAATTTCTAAGACTTCAGTCTCCTGAAGGATGCCTTACTCACCCTCGGCCTATATAGTGGATCTTTAAGTTATAAAATGAGATTTTTCCCTTGTCCTGGAAGAAGGAGGAGGAGGAGGCGGCGGTTTCACAGGGATGCTCCTTGCACAGAGAGTTGAATGGGAATCAACTTCTAGATGTCTCCAGTGCCATTCCTAACATCTGCCCCAGAACACGGCAGAATGATCATGTAGATTTTCCTTTTCCATCTTCCCTTTCACAATGGTCTTTTTGACAAAAAAGAAAAGCACACCCTCACTCCTCCTTAACTTCCAACCTCTGAGCTGTGAAACTGCAGGGCGCCAAACAGACAATGTAAAATACTGTCTTTGGAGACAATTCGTCTAGTGATTAATCAGAGCACCATAGGCTTGTCTAGGGCCTCGGGCTTGTCTCTGTCTGCAGGTCTTGGAGATATTTCTGCCAGGGTAGAGTGAGGCATTAGAACCTGGGTCTGTTGGTCTGTGTTGGGCTGTTCTGAATTTGGATACATTGTAGACTGAGGCACTGTGAGGGCTTTCCTCTCTTTCATCCCCCAAATATTGTCAAATAAAGCATCACACTTGAGGAGGAATGCCCTGAGAACAGAACAGAGAGCCCCAGAAAATGTGTCCCCTCCCAATATTTAAATGTAAGTGATTCTTCTCAGATATGTTTATATCCCAAGGACCTGTACAGCTTACTGATGCTGATTCTTTTAAGCTTGACCGGAATGCTTTCTGAGCTACCAGAATTCTTCAGTACACACTGATTCAATCCTGCAGACAAAAACCTTTTGCAATCTTTCAAATTTGGTGTCCTTCTTTCAATAAGGTAGTTAAAGCCTATTTTAACACATCATGTCACAAAATATTCATTCCAGTTAGAGTCCAATGTTATCTTACTTCATTTCATAAGATGTTTAATATTTTTCTATCTCCTTTTAACAAAAAAACAAGTTATATGCTAGTTGTCAGACTGATTCATTCTTACACTTTAATTAAATATATATGAAAAGTTTGACCATGATAGCTAATGCAATTAATCATTTCTGATTTTTATGCATGATTCTTATTTATTTCAGAAAGCTAGATGCCAGTGTTCAATATACAAGCAGATACACATTTTCCACATACTATGCTTCATATGCCTAGCTTCATAAATAACAATATTTTAACTATACATTGCATATTACTAAATAAAGAGGAATAATTATATTAGCTATATATTGCTTTGTTAATGATTGCTTTTAGTAATACATCCTACAAGATGTGCTCTTTAAGTTATTTCTTAATGGTCCTTTGAAAATAATATTCTTTAAAACACCCTGGAAAATAAAGTTGGTCCTTTCTAATTTTATTAAAAAATGAAAGTAAGCCTGATTTGACTGACTAGTTTGCCAACAAGGTCTAGCTTTGCTAATGGGGTTATATGGCAGACATTGTCCATCAACTTAATAAGCTAAATCTGCGGTTTCAAGGTTTCAACCAAAATAAAAATATTTCTAAAATAGGTAAAATGATGAAGACATTTTATAAAATAATATTGTGTTGACAAAGTTATATTGAAATTAAAATTTCAATTTTCCCAATCCTTTCTGATTAAATAAGGTGACTGGAAGTGAAGAGGTGACAGGTATAATTAATTGTCACTTAATACATATTGTGAAAGTTTGTTTGGTTATATTTCCCAGAAATTGAAATAAGGAATAACTTTAATGAATGAGTAATATCGATTTGCAAAAAAAGGTGGTTTTCAATTATTTGATCTCGACAGCATTGCAGGAGGACCTAATTAAGCCATCAGCTGATTATCAATTTAAAAATAAAACAACTTTGGTGATAGATAAGGATATCACTTTTGACATATAACTCAGAAGGAATTCTAAGAATTGAGTAACAATTCTATAACATAATTTTTATCCCCTTCCACATATTTTTGAGAACAAGTTTTCTCCACATTTATATCTGTAGAAATAGAAAACAGAAATAGAATAGATGCTAAATCATGTCACATTTTAGCAAGAAGTAAAATTCATCAATGGAATATGATATAATTTTTAAAAAGCCATTCCATCACATTAAAAGATGTATTTTCAAAAACATTGCTTTGTATGTTGTACCTTGTATGTATGTTGCTTTGTTTGTATATCTGCCTGCCAAAATTTGTGCTCCCCAGGCCTCATCCTATAGTTTTCCCTGGGGAGCTGCTGCTCACCCAGTGACCTCGTGTATAGAGTAGTCATGTGACTACTTCTCACCAATGGAAAGTGAGAAGTCGTGGTGTGGGTAACTTCCAAGCCAAAGTTTTAAGAAGGGGGTGTGTCTTCTCTACCTTTTCCCTTCCTTTCCCCCAGCTGGGTTCTGCTAAGATGATGAAGCCCTTCAAGAATAGAGGAGCCACAGAATAGAAAGCAGCCTGAGTCTCTGAATCACTGGATGGAGAGCCACACACAGACCAGAACATCCACCTGAGACTGGTAAGTGAGCAAAAGATAAACTTCGATTGTGTTGGACTGGAATTTGGTGGTTTGTTTGAGCAGCCATCATTACCTTAAATAATACAATGTTTAATAAGGATTTATCAGGATTTGTAATAAATCTGTGTTGCTTTTCTCCAAACGTGTGTTAATAGTGAATTGTATTAATAACTCAATCCAGAAAAAAATTTTAACAGAGCTTTATGGCTGTGGGAAATTACTTGAAAATTCAATTTCCATTTGTATTCATAATTTTGATATAGAGAAATTTGGCTGGGGTGATCAATAAATATAAAAATGTATCATATTAGGCTAAAATTATGTAATGGAAGGGAACTAGCAAAATGAATTCAAGGAGAAAAGCATGATATAAAATATCCTAATATTAAAGAAGAATTTGTTCACATATAATTTTTAAAGGATGATATCTTGTCTTGAATTGCTACCAAAGTCTTCTTTACTGCTTCTTTAAAATAGTTTAATACTTTAAAAATCTATATCCTATGGTAGATATACAAAATGTTACGAAAGCATGAATTAGTAAGTGGTGGATCTATATGTGCAGTTCGAGGTATCTTTACCATCATTCACTTCACATGTACTTGTTGATTACTCTCTGTGCCAGATTCTGTATTAGAGGCTTTGTAAGGTTGCAAAGGTAAAATACCACATCTACACTCAAGAGTCCTGCCCTCCCACACATGTACACAACACTTGGAGTTTGCAATTGTGTTCTATTTTCTTAATTTTTTCCCAATTTTATTAAGGTATGATTGACAAATAAAAATTGTGATATATTTATTAACAAATAAATCATGCGTACAACATGATTTTTTTAAGGTATATAATGTGATGATTTGATATACATGTACATTGTGAAATGATTACCACAATAAAGCTAGTTAACATATCCCTCACCTCACATAGTTACCGTGTATGTGTGGTGAGAACACTTCAGATCTACTTTCTTAGCAAATTTCGAGTATGTATAAATACAGCGTTATTAACTATAACCACCACGCTGTACATTAGATCCCAAGAACTTATTCATCTTATAACTAAAAGTGTGTACCCTTTGACTAAAATCTCCCCATTTCCCCCAGCCCCAAGCCAATTGCTATGTCATATGATAGTTCTATTTTTAATTTTTTAGGAACCTCCATACTGTTTTCCATAGTGGCTGCACCAGTTAACATTCCCACCAACAGTGCACAGAGTTCCCTTTCTTCCACACCCTTACCAATACTTGTTATCCCTTGTCTTTTTTTATAATAGCCATCCTAACAGGTGTGAGGTGGTATCTCATTGTAGTTTTGATTTGCATTCCCCTGATGATTAATGATGTTGAGCATCTTTTCATGTCCCTGTTGGTCATCTGTAAGTCTTCCTTGGAAAAATGTCTATTTAGGCACTTTGCTCATTTTTTTAATCAGGTTATTTGTTTTTTGCTATTGAGCTGTATATTTTGCATATTAACCCCTTATTGAATATGCGATTTGCAAATATTTTCTCCCATTCCACAGGTTGCTCTTCATTTTGTTGATGGTTTCCTTTGTTTGATGTAGTCCCACTTGTTTCTTTTTGCTTTTGTTGCCTTTGCTTTTGGTGTCAAATCCAAAAAAATCACTGTGAAGACCAGAGTTAGAGATCTTTTTCTCTATGATTTTTTCTAGGAGTTTTGTGGTTTCAGGTCTTATGTTTAAGTCTTTAATCCATCTGGAGTTTGCTATTTTGAACACATAGACTGGCACATCCACTCCACCCTAGAAAATGGGCCTGCGTAAGCAACAAAGTGGCTCAACTCAAAACTGTAAGGAAAAGAGCTGTCTTGTTCATCTAGACATACTGTGCTTTTTAATGATATTTGCGACCTTTACTCCCTAGTATCTCTCTAGTTCTCCCCAAAGTGGTGAAGCCAATAGTAATCCCAGGTTTCCTCAGCTTCTTGAAGACCCATCTGTAACTGGATTCACATCCTCTATCCCAACTTCCACTGATTAGAGGAGCCACTGGATACAGTTCATACCTGAAATGGCCAAGTGAACCAAGGCTTTTCTGAATGGGAATCTTAGAGTTCTGCAAAAACTATAAAACTGATCCAATCTAGGCTAGCTAAGTGAGGTGAGGAAGGAGGAACAAGGTCTGAGCACCAATTAAAAAGTAATAAAACAGACAACAATAAAAATGCTAAATTAAAGATATTTTGAGATTATGGTTGATATTAACTCGGTATGTCAACAGTTTAGTGAGACTGCCAAAAGTTTAAGGCTATTTTAGAGGCATTCATGAAAGCCTTGTTCCAGAACAACAGAGGGATTATTTTTGATCTGTCTGTGCTGGTCATATCACCACGGCCAACAGTGCATTCTATTGTGAGTGCCACACTCTGTAAGCAGCCCTGACAAACTGAAGTTTCCTAGTAAAATCCGTCCACCGCCACCACTCAAAGACATGGGTAGTTATGGGATCAAATTGGGATGAGAAAGATGTGATGTTATTGTAATGCCTGAGTTTACAAACTCTTTTGACATTGCATAATTCCCCTGCAATATAATACACAAAATGACAAATAAATCTTTCAAAAAGTGACCAATAGTATCTCTCTCTTAATGGCCTCCAACCCAAGAACTCCAGAAGTGATCAAATAGAGGTCCTGATCTTCAGAGCATAGTCTACAGAAATTACAGAGTGCTATACTTTAATTTACTGTGAAGAAACATTTTTTATTAAACAAATAAAGTAAGTTTGAAGATTATGAATCCCCTAACTTGGGAGTGATCTGCAGGAGAGGTACGGTAGAAGGGCAGCTAGTTGGATTAGATAACCCCAACTCTAAACGGATGGATCCCAAGGCTGCTGGAGTTCTACCTTTTACCTTGGATGTGGGGGGAGAGGGGAATGGGTAGGACAATCAGTCACCCATCTTCCTTCTCGGAATGGCTTCTGCTGCCACATAAAGGCATGTCCTCTAAGTTCTCCTGATGGTAGTGGCTTTGACTCCATACTACCCTCTTTTCCCAAGCAGCACAGGCAGAGGCCCTGGAATCAACCAAGGAGATATGAAGACACAGGGAATGTGGCTGTTATCTAGGCAGGAAGAGACTGAGCAGAGTGGGACATTGTGCTACTTGGTGGCCTGTGGAAAGTGGGATGAACAGTTTCTATTCCTCCTCCCTCCTAAAAGCCCAGCACCAGAGGACTGGGGAGTTGCATCTGATAGGACAAGGATTAAAAGGCCAGAGAGATGTCAGCCTAATTGGCTTCTACTGTGCTCCAAATATGGGCCCTTTGTGTGGGCCTTTGATGCTTTGGGGATGAGGCTTTGTTGCATGACTATGGAATTCTAAAGACCATAAAAAGTTCAGGGTGGGTCCAGCACTGTTGAGGCATAGGATTAGCCTTTTAGGGCTGGCTCTGGTGTGAAGGCTTAAGGAGGGAGAAAAGAGACCTTCATATATCTGCCTGGTTGCCCTGCTCAGCAACCAGGGCAGGGAGAAGGGCAAGGCTTCAGAGAATATGCTCTCTCCAAGAACAGAGCACACTAGTCTGTTCAAAGCACCCCCTAGATCCTGTTTCTCAGGGCTCGGTGTCTGGTAGGCGACTTGAAGTCCCAGAGGTGTGGAGGATTATGGAAAGCTCTGTGGAGAAGTTGAGAGCCTCGAGAACAATAAGAGTATTTAATTCAATTCAACACACCTGTACTTCAACCTCTCTCATTGAACTGCTCCCACATCACAAATTCTCCACCCTCACAGAGACTTCCACCACCTACCTTCATCCTTTCATCCTGGCCAGTAAGGCTTCCACTCACCTCATAATTCATCTACTGACCTGGAGCCCCAGATGCTGCGTCTCCACCACTTCTCACTGTCACCCAAAAAGTCACCAGCCTCTGACCATCATCAACAGAAGGCATTTTGTATGGATTTCCCTAACATAGTCAAGTCTCTAAAGATTTGAATTCATCATATCATCTTCTAAACCTACTTAGGAAGCTCACTTTTAAAATATGCAGCCTAATTAATCCCTTTAAGAATACACATTATTGTGTATTTGGTTTTCTTGAAGTAGGGTCTGCTTGGCAAATTAAAAGATACAGTCACGAATGTTTTAGAGTTCAAAACTTAAGGCAGCTTCAAAAGAGCCCGATGGATATTGTCTCAGTTTGATTACCACCAGACTATTAATAGCACGTCTACCTTTCTGGAATAGTTGGCTAGGAACACTACAATCAGATGTCTTCCACATTCCCTCTGACTGCACTCTGGTCAGTGCAGGAGCTGCTGCTACATGCAGGTGATGGAAGACAACCTCAAAGGAGAAAAGCCGACATGTGTCCATGCCAAGCCAAGCCATACAAGCAGAAAGTGTTCATAAGACTGACTATTTCATTCACAGAGCCACCAGAAGCCAAAGGGCTTCACCAACATCCCTCCCATTTAAGAACTCACAGACTCAAGAGGATGTCTATGGATTCCTCCAGTTCTATGGCCTCAATTTGAAAAATACTTCATTAATAATTAAATTCTGTCACTTAGGAGGTCAAAAAAGCAGAGGAAAGCATTTGATATTGAATAGCAGGACTGGCTATAAAGGGAAATTATCAATCGGTGTCCAGTTAGGAAAACAGAAACCATTCTAGGTATTTCAAAGTGTTGGAAGGGATGGAGGAGCAAAAAGAGAAAGTTGAGGTTAAATCCATATGACTGGGGAAGCAGAAACAAAAATGGTCTTACCCTAGAGCCCATCACTGAGGCTGATGGAGCCCCTGCTACTGACTGTGCCAATTTGCAGAATGCTGGAGTCTGCTCGTCTGTGGAAGCTGCAGGAACACAAGAGACTAAGGTCACCAGATGTTGCTTGTGCTGGAGCAGAGCCCAAGCTCCATGCTGCTGCTGCTGCTGCTGCCCTGCTTGAGCAGAACCCAAGAGCCCCCACTGGCTGGGAGCTGCTGTTGCCACCTGTTGGAGGTAACTTAATTTTTATTTATTTTTATTTTTTATTGCAGTAACAGTAGTTTATAACATTATATAAATTTCAGGTATACTTTGTTATATATTTTGATTTCTGTGTAGATTACACCATGTTCACCATCCAAAGACTAATTACAATCCATCACCACACACATGTGCCTTATCACCCCCTTCACCCTCCTCCCTCCCCCCTTCCCCTCTGGTAACCACCAATTCAATCTCTGTCTCTATGTGTTTGTTTGTTGTTGTTTTCATCTTCTACTTATGAGTGAGATCATATGGTATTTGACTTTCTCCCTCTGACTTATTTCACGTTGCATAATATCCTCAAGGTCCATCCATGTTGTCATAAATGGCCAGATTTCATTGTTTCTTAAGGCTAAGTAGTATTCCATTGTGTATAAATACCACATCTTCTTTATTCATTTGTCACTTGATGGGCACCTGGTTGCTTCCAAGTCTTGGCGATTGTGTATAATGCTGCAATGAACATAGGGGTGCATGCATCTTTATGCCTTTGTGTTTCCAAGTTCTTTGGATAAATACCCAGCAGTGGGCTAATTGGATCATATGGTAGATCCATTCTTAATTTTCTGAGGATACTCCATACTGCTTTCCATAGTGGCTGCACCAGTTTGCGCTCCCACCAGCAGTGTATGAGCGTTCCCTTCTCTCCACATCATCTCAAATACTTAGTGTTTCTAGTCTTGTTAATTATAGCCATCCTGATGGGAGTGAGGTGATAACTCATTGTAGTTTTGCTTTGCATTTCCCTGATAGTGATGTTGAACATCTTTTCATGTGCCTGTTTGCCATCTGTGTATCTTCTTTGGAGAAGTGTCTGTTCAGATCTTTTGCTCATTGTTCAATTGGTTTTTTGTTGTTGTTGTTGAGGTGTATGAGTTCTTTATATATTTTGGATATTAACCCCTTATCAGATATATGGTTTGCAAATATCTTCTCCCAGTTGTCAGGTTGTCTTTTCGTTTTGGCGATGGTTTCCTTTGCTGTGAAGAACATTTTTAGTTTGAAATAGTCCCATTTGTAGATTTTTTCTGTTGTTTCCCTTGCCCAGTCAAACACGATACTTGAAAATATCCTGCTAAGACTGATGTCGAAGAGCATACTGCCTGTTTTCACTAGAAGTTTTATGGTTTCAGGTCTTACATTCAAATCTTTAATCCATTTTGAGTTAATTTTTGTGTATGGTGAAGGATAGTGGTCTAGCTTCATTCTTTTGCATGTGGCTGTCCAGTTTTCCCAACACCATTTATTGAAGAGACTTTCCTTTCTCCACTGTATGCTCTGGCTCCCCTGTCGAATATTAGCTGTCCATAAATGTGTAGGTTTATTTCTGGGCTTTCCATTCTGTTCCATTGATCTGTGTGTCTGTTTTTGTGCCAGTACCATGCTGTTCTGGTTACCATAGCTTTGTAGTATATTTTGAAATCAGGGAGTGTGATAACTCCAGCTTTGTTCTTTTTCCTGAGGATTCCTCTGACTATTTGGGGTCTTTCATTGTTCCGTATAAATTTTAGGATTCTTTGTTCTATTTTTGTGAAAAATGTTGTTGGAACTTTGATAGAGATTGCATTGAATCCGTAGATTTCTTTAGGAAGTATGGACATTTTAATAATGTTAATTCTTCCAATCCAAGAGTATGGAATATCTTTCCATTGTTTTGTGTCTTACTCAATTTCTTTCAACAATGTTTTATAGTTTTCACTGTACAGATCTTTCACCTGTTTGGTTAAGTTTATTCCTAGATATTTTATTCTTTTTGTTGCAATTGTAAATGGGGTTGTATTCTTAATTTCTCTTTCTGCTGCTTCATTGTTAGTGTATATAAACACAACTGATTTCTGTTGATTTTGTGTCCTGCAACTTGACCATATTGATTTATTGTTAGTAAAACTTTTTTAGTGGATTCTTTAGGGTTTTCTGAATATAAAATTATGTCGTTTGCAAATAGTGACAGTTTCACTTCTTCCTTTCCAATGTGGATCCCTTTTATTTCTTTTTCTTGCCTGATTGCTCTAGCTAGGACTTCCAATACTATGTTAAATAAGAGTGGTGACAGTGGGCTTCCTTGTCTGGTTCCTGTTCTTAGAGGGATAGCTTTCAGTTTTTCTCCATTGAGAATGATATTAGCTGTGGGTTTGTCATATATGGCCTTCATTATGTTGAGGTACTTTCCTTCTATACCCTTTTATTAGTTTTTTATCATAAATGGATGCTGTATCTTGTGAAATGTTTGCTCTCCATATATTGAAATGATCATGTGATTTTTATTCTTCATTTTGTTAATGTGGTGTATCATGTTGATAGATTTGCAGATGTTGAACCATCTCTGCGTCCCTGGAATAAGTGCCATTTGATCATAGTGTATGATCTTTTTAATAATTGTTGTATTCAATTTGCTAGTATTTTGTTGAAGATTTTTGCATCGATGTTCATCAGTGATATTGGCATGTAATTTTCTTTTTTTATGTTGTCTTTGTCTGGTTCCTGTATCAGGGTAATGCTGGCTTCATAGAATGAGTTAGGAAGCTTCCCCTCCTCATCAATCTTTTGGAAGAGTTTGAGAAGCATAGGTATTAAGTCTTCTTTGAATGTTTGGTAGAACTCACCAGGGAAGCCATCTGGTCGTGGACTTTTATTTTGGGGGAGCTTTTTTATTACTGTTTTGATTTCCTTACTGGTGACTGGTCTATTCAAATTCTCTGTTTCTTCTTGATTCAGTTTTAGAAGATTGTATGAGTCTAAGAATCTATCCCTTTCACCTAGATTATCCAATTTGTTGGCGTATAGCTTTTCATAGTATTCTCTTATAATCTTTTGTGTTTCTGAGGTGTCTGTTGTAATTTCTCCTCTTTCATTTCTAATTTTATTTATTTGAGGCTTCTCCCTTTTTTCTTGGTGAGTCTAGCTAAAGGTTTGTCAGTTTTGCTTATCTTTTCCGAGAACCAGCTCTTGATTTCATTGATTTTTTCTATTTTTTTTTTTTTTTTTTTTTAGTCTCTATTTCATTTATTTCTGCTCTGATTTTTATTATTTCCTTCCTTCTACTGATTTTGGGCTTTGTTCATTCTTCCTTTTCTATTTCCTTTAGGTGCCCTGTTAGATTGTTTATTTGGGATTTTTCTTGTTTGTTGAGGTAGGCCTGCATTGCTATAAACTTCCCTCTTAGAACCACTTTTGCTGTATTCCACAGATTTTGTTATGTTATATTTTCCTTTTCCTTTGTCTCCAGGTTTTTTTGTTTTTAAGATTGGCACCTGAGTTAACATCTGTTGCCAATCTTCTTTTTTTTCTTCTTCTTCCCCACAAAGCCCCCCAGTACATAGTTATATATTCTAGCTATAGGTCCTTCTAATTATGCTATGTGGGATGCTGACTCAGCATGGCTTAATGAGTGGTGCCATGTCCGTGCCCAGGATCCAAACCAGCGAAACCCCGGGCCACCAAAGCAGAGCACACGAACTTAACCACTTGGCCACAGCCTCTCAGAGGCCACTCAGCCTCTGTCTCCAGGTATTGTTTTATTTCCCTTTTGATTTCTACATTGACCCAATTGTTGTTTAGTGACATTTTGTTTAATCTCCACATATTTGTGGCTTTTCTGATTTTCTTTCTGTAGTTGATTTCTAGTTTCACACCTTTATGGTCAGAAAAGATACTTGGTATTATTTCAATCTTCTTAAATTTATTGAGACTTGTTTTGTGGCCTAATATGTGATCAATCCTGGAGAATGTTCCATGTGCATTTGAAAAGAATGTGTATTCTGTGGTTTTTGGATGGAATATTCTGTATATATCTCCTAAGTCCATCTGGTCTAATGTGTCCTTTAAGGCCAATGTTTCCTTATTGATCTTCTGTTTGAATGATCTATCCATTGGTATAAGTGGAGTGATAGAGTTGCATTAATAATAGTCTATTATTGTGTTATTGTCTACTTCTCTTTTTATGTCTGTTAATAATTACTTTATCTATTTAGGTGCTCCTATGTTGGTTGCATAGATATCTACAAGTGTTAAATCCTCTTGTTAGATTGTTCCCTTTATCATTATGTAGTGCCCTTCTTTGTCCCTTGTTACAGTTTTTGTTTTAAAATCTACTTTGTCTGATATAAGTGTTGCTACTCCCACTTTCTTTTCTTTGCCATTTGCATGGAGTATCTTTTTCCATCCCTTCACTTTCAGTCTGTGAGTGTCTTTAGGTCTGAAGTGTATCTCTTGTATGCAGCATATATATGGTTCTTGTTTTTTTACCCAATTGGCTACCCTCTGCCTTTTGATTGGAGCATTTAGTCCATTGACATTTAAAGTAGCTATTGATAGATATGTACTTATTGCCTTTTTTTTTTTTTTACTTTTTTTCTGGGTTTTTAGTAGTTCTGGCTTTGGAAGGTGGGGCTGATCCCCAAGTGGCTGTTTGAGAAGCACAGGTCTTCTGCCACTAAGCCCATGGCCCACAGGTCCACACCCACTTTCAACACAGTCCTGGCCTGTGCACACTTCCCAACCCCCTGGAGCAGACCCAGTCGCCCCACTGCAGAGGCCCACACACACTCCATCAATGCCCCACAGTCCTCACCTGCTCTTCACCCATGCCCTACCCCACAGAGGCAGACCCACTCACCTGCCTGCAGAGGATACAGGCACCCAGTCTATGCAGGCCAGAAAGATGCCTGAGGCCTTGCTGTTGGCTGGCTGGGGCCACTCCCTAGGGCTGCTGCCTGCCCTGACTTAGCTGGATTAAATCAGTGCTCTATTGGGAGGGGCAAACCCTGGGTTAATGGGCCAGTGGAAGAATTCCAATGGCATGTGCCAGCATCTGTGTCAGCACACCTGTACTAGGTCAAATAACGGCTGCTGCCAATGTCTCAGTCTCCAGAGAGGTTTGACCTTGCAAAGACGCACCCAGAGCCTATCAGGTGAATCTCTTTTTATCAAAGGATTTTGCTCCTTTTTTTTCTGGTGATTTTAGGT